GTACGGCTTAAAACTAGCCTGTTGGAATATCCAGCAAAACTGGGACTTTCGATTTGGATCGTCATTATAGGTGGATTAGATATTAGCCTTGGTGAGGGCGTCGAGAACGAGAGCTTTCTCGAACAAAATACGACGGGGCAAGTTAGCTGCGTAGGTAAATGTTAAACATGATGATGTTGCCCAATCCTCGGGTAAAGTCACCATCTTAGTTTTCTCTGATGTTTATTGGGCAGTCAGAGGTTTCTGCTGGGGGAGTTTTATCGACAAATGTTAAATTCTTCACCCGCACACGGATGATGATCGACATCTCGGGGGCCGCTGTTGCGTTTGTTCTGAGCATTTCCTTACACACTGGTATATTACTATTATAATGCAAATAAATGCAAAGGTGCAAGCGAGCTGGACAGTAATGATGAAAATAAACCCTGGAGAAGGGGAACAAGAGGGACAAAGGACAAACACAAAACTCCAAACACAGCTAGGTGACTGGTGCGCGACCGAAAAAATCCGCCTGGTCCGGGTATCGAACCCGGGACCTCTCCATTACAGCGTTTGTACGGCAACAGAGCGATTTAAAACCTGCAAATAAATCATGGGTTGTCAATTGCTTCCTCCGTGAAATAGCAGACGCTCACAATTCAAGCTCGCGTTTGATTTCGTTTCCCGCGGGACGGGATTTCTATCAGAAAATCTACTTTTTTTTCCGTTCGGTTCTGCGACACATCGCAGCAACGAACCCTCGTCGTCTGCTCCCGCTCCGAATACGCCGGCGGCCCCGCCGGAGCGAGGCATGACGGGATTGCATTTTGGCGCACTCCCGATTTTCGCGGTGCAGCGAGCGCATGCACGCGTGGGGTGTCAGCGCTGAAACGAACTCGGAGAGTGCAACTACTCGTGGAGCGCCGGCCGAAACGAACCCGTTCCACGCTGCGTGTGGACACGCGTGGGCACGAGTGCCGTGAAACGAACTCGCTATAAAATAGAGATAAGTGGCTGGCACCGTTCGAGTTCTCTCTCAGAATGCATCGCACTGACGTTGCACGGAGAACTGGACTCAAACGAACACGCCAAATGCACCGAGCGCAAAAGACTGATGATGCCGCCATCTATGTTGCAGAAAAGGTACACACATAAAACCGAAACTAGCGGCTTTCTCTTCGGAGTGGTGGGTGGGAATGCGAGAGTGCAGTCGCTACCAACGTTTATCTACAAACCTTGGTCGCTGCAACCTGTAGTTTATATTTGCGATGACTTCAAGCAACTCGGCTGTCGTAGAGATAGTTACAGACGGCGTAAATTTCCGCAACCAACTGTCTAGAAAGCACCTGATTGCGATCTCTTATTCGAAAAAAAAAAAAACGGATGATGCTGTCCGAGCAGAAGCTTGATCCGTTTGAGCATGGTATTAAGCGTGAACCACTGAAAGAGTACGGCTTAAAACTAGTCTGTTGGAATATCCAGCAAAAATATTCGTGGGACTTTCGATCTCGATCATCATTACAGGTGGATCGCATATTAGCCTTGGTGAGGGCGCCTCGGGTAAAGTCACTATGTTTAGCTTTCTCTGATGCTTATTGGGCAGTCACAGGCTTCTGCTGGGGGAGTTTTGTCGACAAATGTTCCATTTTTCACCCGCTCACGGATGGTGATAAACGTCTCGGGGGCCGCTGATGCGTTTGCTCTGAGCATTTCTTTACACACTGGTATATTTCAGCGTCTGCACGGCAACAGAGCGACTTAAAACCTCCAAATAAAGCACGATTTGTCAATTGCTTCCTTCATGAAATAGCAGGTGCTCGCAATTCAAGCTCACGTTTGATTCCGTTACCCGCGGGACGCGATTTCTATCAGAAAATCTATTTTTTTCCCTCTCGTTTCCGCGACACATCGTAGCAGACGAACCCTCGTCGTCTGCTCCCGCTCCTCTCCGGAGGGAGGCATGACGGGATTGCATTTTGGCGCACCCCCGGTTTGTCGGTGCAGCGAGTGCATGCATGCGTGTGGTGCCAGCGCTGAAACGAACTCGGAGACTGCAAGCATTCGTGGAGTGCCGCCTGAAACGAACACTCTCCACGCTGCGACCTGCGAGTGGGCACGCATGGGCACGAGTGCCGTAAAACACGTGAAACAAACGTAGTTCCCAGAGTCAACTGCGTGACATTGCGCCGCGATGGGGCGCTTTCAGTTTTGGAAGAATTCCAACCTCGTTGAAGAATTCTCATAGCGAGTTCGTTTCACACGCACTGGCACCGTTCGAGTTCTCTCCCAGAATGCATCGCACTCTCAGAGTGTTGCACGGAAAACTGGACTCATAGCGAGTTCGTTTCACGGCACTCGTGCCCACGCGTGCCCACTCGCAGCGTGGAACGGGTTCGTTTCGGCCGGCACTCCACGAGTGGTTGCACTCTCCGAGTTCGTTTCAGCGCTGACACCCCACGCGTGCATGCACTCGCTGCACCGAGAAAATCGGGTGTGCGCCAAAATGCAATCCCGTCATGCCTCGCTCCGGCGGGGCCGGCGAGGAGCGGGAGCAGACGACGAGGGTTCGTCTGCTACGATGTGTCGCGGAACCGAACGGGAAAAAAAGTATATTTTCTGATAAAAATCGGGTCCCGCGGGCCACGAAATCAAACGCGAGCTTGAATTGTGAGCGTCTGCTATTTCCCGAAGAAGGCAATTGACAACCCGTGATTTATTTATTTGCAGGTTTTAAATCGCTCTGTTGCCGTACAAACGCTGAAATATACCAGTGTGTAAAGAAATGCTCAGAACAAACGCAACAGCGGCCCCCGAGATGTCTATCACCATCCGTGTGCGGGTGAAAAATTTAACATTTGTCGACAAAACTCCCCCAGCAGAAACCTCTGACTGCCAAATAAGCATCAGAGAAAGCTAAAGATGGAGACTTTACCCGAGGATGGGGCAACATCATCATGTTTAACATTTACCTACGTCAGCTAACTTGCACCGTCGTATTTTGTTCGAGAAAGCTCTCGTTCTCGACGACCTCACTAAGGCTAATATCTAATCCACCTATAATGCCGATCCAAATCGAAAGTCCCAGTTTTGCTGGATATTCCAACAGGCTAGTTTTAAGCCATACACTTTCAGTGGTTCACGCATAATACCATGCTCAAACGAATCAAGCTTCTGCTCGGACAGCATCATCAGTTTTCTTCAGTGTAAACGGTTATAAGAATTGAAAGATCGCAACCAGCTGCTTTGTAGCCAGCTGGTTGCGGAAATTTACGCCGTCTGTAATTATCTCTACGGCAGCCTAGCTGCTTGAAATCATCGCAACTATAAACTACACAGGTTGCAGCGACCAACGTTTGTAGATAAACGTTGGTAGCGACTGCATTCTCGCATTCCCCCGCCTCACTCCGAACAGAAAGGCGCTAGTTTCGGTTTGAAGTCGGTACCTTTTCTACAACATAGATGGCGGCAGCATCAGTCTTCTGCACTCGGTGCATTTGGCGAGTTCGTTTGAGTCCAGTTTTCCGTGCAACACTCTGCGAGTGCGCTGCATTCTGGGAGAGAACTCGAACGGTGCCAGTGCGTGTGAAACGAACCCGCTATCAAACGAACTCGCCAAATGCACCGAGTGCAGAAGACTGATGCTGCCGCCATCTATGTTGTAGAAAAGGTACCGACTTCAAACCGAAACTAGCGCCTTTCTGATCGGAGTGATGCGTGGGAATGCGAATGCAGTCGCTACCAACGTTTATCTACAAACGTTGGTCGCTGCAACCTGTAGTTTATAGTTGCGATGACTTCAAGCAGCTCGGCTGCCGTAGAGATAGTTACAGACGGCGTAAATTTCCGCAACCAGCTGTCTACAAAGCAGCTGGTTCCGATCTTTCAATTCTTGTAACCGTTTACACTGAAGAAAACTGATGATGCTGCCCGAGCACAAGCATGATCCGTTTGAGCATGGTATTATGCGTGAACCACTGAAAGGGTGCGGCTTAAAACTAGCCTGTTGGAATATCCAGTAAAACTGGGACTTTCGATTTGGATCGTCATTATAGCTGGATCAGATGATCCACCTATAATGCATCGGTGAGGGCGTCGAGAACGAGAGCATTCTCGAACAAAATACGACGGTGCAAGTTAGCTGACGTAGGTAAATGTTAAACATGATCATGTTGCCCAATCCTCGGGTAAAGTTACCATCTTTAGCTTTCTCTGATGCTTATTGGGCAGTCAGAGGTTTCTGCTGAGAGAGTTTTGTCGACAAATGTTAAATTTTTCACCCGCACACGGATGGTGATAGATATCTCGGGGGCCGCTTTTACGTTTGTTCTGAGCATTCCTTTACACATTGGTATATTTCAGCGTCTGTGCGGCAACAGAGCGATTTAAAACCTGCAAATAAATCACGGGTTGTCAATTGCTTCCTTCGGGAAATAGCAGACGCTCACAATTCAAGCTCGCGTTTGATTTCGTGGCCCGTAAGACGCGATTTCTATCAGAAAATCAACTTTTTTTCCGTTCGGTTCCGCGACACATCGTAGCAGACGAACCCTCGTCGTCTGCTCCCGCTCCTCGCCGGCCCCGTCGGAGCGAGGCATGACGGGATTGCATTTTGGCGCACTCCCGATTTTCTCGGTGCAGCGAGTGCATGCACGCGTGGGTGTCAGCGCTGAAACGAACTCGGAGAGTGCAACCACTCGTGGAGTGCCGGCCGAAACGAACCCGTTCCACGCTGCGAGTGGGCACGCGTGGGCACGAGTGCCGTGAAACGAACTCGCTATCACTTTCAGCATGATCTCTATGCTTTCAGCTGCCAGTTTATCGCTCTAAGCCTATCCGTCGTTGCATAAACCATAACACTGGTTCATTATAAAAAAAAAATCCACTTTAATTAACTTGGTATACTTTTACTGCGTTTACTTGGCGTTTTCTTATCGCCGTGACGCTTGCGACTGCAGACTTTCCGAACTGTGCACTCGAACGCACCCTGATTATCTAAGCAATCGTCATTTCCGGTTAGACGATACAATGGCAGCCGCCATGCCTGGCACGTCGTTAGGTCGCTTCTCGCACAACGTGTATTTTACCTTAGAAATTAGCCTATTACTATTATTCATAACAGCTGTACATTCCGTCGAAGTATCTAGGCCACGGGGCGTACCGTTGGCAAGTAAGTGGAAACCTTCCTACGTCGTAAACGCCGGTTTTTGACCGGCCCCAAACGCTCAGCTGCGAACCGGCCCATTTCCAGGTAGCGCTTACGAGAGATACGGGGAGGGGTCTACCTTTTCAAGGCTTCTTATCTGCACAAGTTCGGCTCACACTGGAGTTAATAGCGCTATTCCTCGGTTTGGCTTGCTTGAACAAGCAACTGTTCGCCCTAAACCAACCCGCAAGAACTAATAACCGATCTTCGTACCTTGTCACTATTCCCTGCACAGGTGCGTTTTTGTGACGACGTACGAAATTCAATAACTCGAACTCTGTGTGCATTTGAAAATTGAGGACTGCGACCGTGATGTTCGGTGACTCGGTGCTTTTTCATTTTTCGGGGCTTCATTTCCTTCGCTGCTTACGCACGTTGAGGCCCCGAGTTTTCGGCAATTGCCCGGCGCCATTCATAGGCAAACAGTTGTTACGCCTGTATTTTGCGAACGAAGGCCGAGCAAAATTACGGCGTGTTGCGACTGGAACGCTAAACTACCCCCGGCTGCTCGCTGTTACTGGCGAACGATATCGTCAAGTAAGCATCTCCAGAAATGGCGGACGGCCGCGTCTGCTACGACCACGCTTGCGCAGTGGCAGCCCCTGAAAAGGCCCATTCGAGATGCTCCAGCTCTAGGGGATAAATATGGGGATAAATATGGTCTTGGCAATTTCAGGGTGTTTAAGTCTGAAACGGTGTCACCGGTGGAGCCAACTGCACACTACTCTGGACTTAAAAGGCTGTTAAACTGGCCTACTAGTCACAGACTGTTTCTACCATTGTCAAGGTGGTCTATGGTCATTCGTGAATATTGATCTCGTTAATTCGTTTAAGTATATTATTGCAGATAGTAAAGTTATACATGTGCAAAAGCAGCCGACAGTATGAGCAAACGGGGCCAATCGGCCAATCAACCAGCAACATCACAGCAATCCCCGTCTTTCTGCGTGTTTGTTGTCGTAGGTTAAACTAATCGACCACAGTGAATGCTCCGTGACCTTGCTCTTTTAGCATGTGTGTCTGCACTTGCACACATTCTAGATGTTGGGAAAAATGGGAATGACAACTGATACTTTATTAATACAGACTTTTTAGGGAGAGGCTGGCTTTCTTCAAATGTGAACTCACCAAAGGTGCAGAATGTTTCTGAATCAGGGTTTTGGAGGGAAAGAGGGTGACTTCTCTCGCTCTTTTCCTCCGAGACCCCGATACAAAAATATTCCGCGATTGCAGCGTGTTCACAGTTTCAAGGAAGCGAGCCTCTTCCCACCGAAACCTTTGTGTTAATGAAACATCGGTTGTTATTAGCATTTATTTCGCCATGTATACTTTCTTGCTGAAAAACTTGAATTTTTTAGGTACATTCATGTATCCTAGCATTGACAACGTTCTGACTTGTGGTTAAACGGAGTATAGCCATTGCTTTTTGTGAGCTATCTTATTTTGGATGCTCGTTGAATGCGTGTGCCCTTTAAAACGTGTGTATTCTGTGATGCTCTGGGCTTTGTAACGACATCCCGGTCTCTCTGTGTCTTATCAGGAGCATCGCTTTACGACCCCGCCAAAAATTTCACCTGCTTTGATGGTAGCGCAAGCTTCGCTTTCCACCAGGTCAACGACGATTACTGCGACTGCAGGGATGGCTCGGACGAACCGGGTACGTCAAAAACACTGTTCGTTGCTCTGTTTTAAAAAGAAAAGTGCCAAATGCGTTAAAAAAAACTTTTTTTAAATGCTTTGTTAGAACATTTGCCTTACAAAATCAACTTTTCCTAAGAACAAACTTTCTTTTTTTATTTTTTAGTTTAATATTTGAACTGCGAGACTTGTCTTGAGTTTGGGAGCGATTCTTAAACATGCTCCTATCTTGAGCCGTCGACCTTTGAAATTGAAGCAAGTTTTTTCATCACTTCGAACGCAAAATGAGTCTCGCAACATTACTGTAAAATACTGTGCCTCTGCCCATTCCACAATCCAGCCCTATTTCGTAACATTCGGAAAATACACAAAAGGACATATCTTGTTTTTGACCTAAGGAGTGGCCATCCCCCAGTTTTACATTATTATCTCTAAATTACGAGTGGGTGCTTGCTCAGAATTTTACAATCATAAAGTGCTAAATCTTTTTTTTTTTTTTTTTAGCGAGTTTGTTTTTGTGATTTGTGCCTTATGCAAACTGTTACAAAATACTTTTTGGGGGGGTCAGTCTCCGTTTAAAAGTATCTAGCGTCCTAAACAAGCCGGTGCACTGCACGACCCAGTTAGTGCAAACACGACATAAACTTTTTTTAGCATTTTACTTCAACAGGTTATTGACAAGTACTGAATTTTACTCTTTATGTTGGTACCATGGGCATCACCATAAGCACGCGAGTAGTTTCTACGATAGTGTCTAAATTTTAAGAGAGAAAATAAAAATAAAATACCCAGGATCACTTGTTCGCGCCAACAGTGTCGTGCAGTGTACTTCTTCTAAATGCAAACAAAAAGACAAGTCAGCAACAATAAATGTGACAGAAGATAAAATATTTTATATCTTTCTTGCAGTGGAAATTTAATAGCACCGCAGTGTAAAAGAGCAAGCCGTTAGATGTAGAACCCGTGTCTTGTCTCAGAACTTCCTTATACATATTAAGGCTGGTTCACGACTGCGTAACGACCACTTGCAATGAGGAAACGCATTGGCACCGTCTGTTGGGTAGCGCTGGCCCACTCTCAGTCCGCAGACATTTCTTTAATTTTCAAGTATTCTTTTCCTACGAGCTTGAAATAATTCTGGCAATGTTATGAGCGATCATTCCTTACAGATGTTATGTACATTTCGTCTCCCGAATACTGCAAAAACCTTCAGTCTAGTTCAGGACAGGAAGCATTAGAGTGCCGTTTGTACGCCGCCACCACCTCGTTTCAATTCCCTGTGGCACGTTGCACTGGCACGCAAGCAGTCGGTAACGCAATCCAATGCATACATCTCAAGTGCATGTACCAGGTGTGGCCAGGCTGACCCGGCCTAAGAGCTGCAAAACGAAACCACAAAAACTTCCAAGAGCCGCATGGAAGAGGAAAGGCAGGAAAGGGGGGGGGGGGTGCAAACTTTTGTCCAGAGCAATGAACAAAATTTAAACTACTTTCAATCTATCCGAGTCAAAAGCAGTCCAACCGTACGTAAGGTAGCAGTAGCACAAGACTACCAAACTGCAACCTACCTTTCAATTTAAAACACGCTCCATTCTCTTCTTGGGGAAGAGCTCGTGTGACCGGGAGGGAGGCAGGGTAGGGGGGGGGGGGGGGTGTATTGAAGGGAGCCGCGAGCCGCACTTTAACGCACGAAAAGCCGCAGCTTGGCCACCCCTGGCATATACGCACGCGGACGTGCAAGAACTGGCGGGTTACACGAGCCGAGAAGGGGCTAGGTAACTGTTGTAGGCTTCTTACAAAAAGATGCGGTTTGTTTCGGTAAGCTAAGTTGCTCTGCCTCGCGGAAATGCGAAAACTGAAATTGCGGTGACGTTTTTGAAGCCCGCCCTTGTGGAATAATTGTGTTCATGGTGAGTTAGCAGTGTTTCCAGCACATTGCTAAGTTAAAGTGCAGCATTGCTTTAGTTGGTGCTTATGGTGCCTGGGGCATGTCTTCGACTGTTGTTTGGCGTCCTATCCCTTCCACACATCGAAGGGGGTCCCAGAGTGCCAACGAATAACGTTGTAGAAGCCGGAGTGTCATGCTTGGGATGTCTCGATCCTGGCAGTTAATGCTAGATGTCCCTGCAAAAAGTATGATTGAATGCATGTGTTGCTGTCCTCAATGTTTCCCCATTCCCCTATTGCTTGAGCTTTCATCGATGGTCAAGCTGGACTACGACCTGCGGCAAACAAGCAATTGCTGCTTCCACTTTTGCTGTTGTGCCGTCTCCAGGATCGGGGGAGGGGTTGGGGTTGGGGATTGAGGCAGAAAGAAAGCTCTCCTCTACAAGTCAGTTTTAAAACACAAGTTCCTTTTTTTTTTTTTTTTTGGTGTTATTGAAATGTTAAACGAGGCCAAATAGAGGCAAAGTCTTCTGCGTACACGACCGGTGTAGAAAAAAAATGTATTGGCAGATGGAGGCGGGAAAGACCTGAAAGTTGTGCAGTACGAGAGGTAACATTTCTTGTTACCTCTCGTAATGTGTTTATTCCTTAATATTATATTTGTTTTATTTTTGCCCGATAAAGTTTATCGGCTTTTTTTGGTGCATATAAAATAACCACCAACGGACACTGGATCAGATGATCCTTGTAGCTCTGATATTTGTGATCACTCAAAAACTAACGATACAAATACATAAAAAAGAAAAAAAAAATCAACACTTTATTTGGCAAATGTGTGCAACCTTAAAACAAACAAGAAAAACACAGTACAAACAAGTCAGATATGAAGCCAATGCCCAAAAAACATGTAGCTTCACCTTCTGTACGTCAGGATTACATGATCTTATTACAGTACACAACATGTATTTTCTCGGGTTCTCCTTGTTGATCCGCACCCTTTCTTTCCTGTTAATATGACCCTGAGCTTCGAGAATGCGCTCTGAACGCTAACACTGGACACTGGCAGGCTGAGGAGATGAAGCGCTGCCTGAGCCAAAATCGGCCTATCAACCAGTTGACCGCCAAAAGAGACGCGGTGCGACGTTTCGAAGCACGATACAACATGCAGAGCTCGCATTAAGTCAGTCTTGCTTACAAAGAGTTTGAAAACACGCTCATACATGGCGAAGTCATGGGGCATTTCAGACTTCATTTTCCGATCGATGATGCGCACATTAAACGAAAACGTCTTGATGGCATCAGTGTATCCCATACATTTTGACACGTTTCGATAGACACTGTTTCACTTTTTCGCCACGGCTCTGCGGTACGACTGGAAGGTCAATTAGGGATCTTTACTGGTTAAAACAGAATTTTAGAAAACGGATTCAACATACTTTTTCTGGTTTTTATCGGTTTAAATCGAAAATGCCGAACCTAAAAACTGACCTTTTTTCGGTTAAAACCAAATTTCTGAAAATGGATTCGGCATTCTTTTATTGGTTTTTATCAGTTTAAACCGAAAACTCCAAACCCTAGTTACAGTACAGGTTATGAAAGTAAGGTTATGTAAGGTTATATACAGGTTATTATTGTATTATGAAGGTAAGGTTATAGTACAGGTTAGGTAAGTAGTGCAGGCAAGACTGTTCATAGTTTCTTGGTTGATATGGTTTATGATGGTGCTGATGGGATCAACTGTGATGATGACTTGCATGCCTCTGCAGGCACTGCAGCGTGCAACAACGGCGTGTTCCACTGCAGCAACCTGGGGCACAGGGGCGAGAACATCCCGGCTTCGAGGGTCAATGACGGGATCTGCGGTGAGTTTTGACGGGCCTCTTCGGCTACGACGAACTTACGGCTGCGACAGTCTCTATTTTGCTTGGCAGTCTTAGGAAAGTTGAGTGCAAGTCCCTCGCTGGAGATAACATAGGTGAAGAGGAGGGGATGAAAATTGACTTTTGCAGGATAGTCTCATTGGCAATAATGCCAAAGCAGGCTTTTCTGGTGAAGTGTTTTTGTTCAAGGATTACCATGTTTTCCGCACTAAAGTCTGCACCAAATGCAAAGCCAATTTTTGATTAAAAAAAAAAAGTTCTTCCTTAGATGGTTTTCACCTTGTGCCCAGTCTGCACTTGAAAACTTATATGCAGCACACCTTGACAAATGACTGCTTTATGAGCTCACATAGAAGGTTGTATCACGCATAAATAATTATTAACATGCCCTTTCATTTGCAAAATTTGTCATGTGTCATAGTGAATGACCTAAAAAAAATCCTTGTCTACACCTTCTTAAAAAACTCTTTTAGGCCGCCGCCGTGTTGCTGTTGATGACTCAGCTAGTGCATTCCCTATCGGCTAGAAATTTTCTGCCACTTCCTTGGGCTGCTGAAACCTGCTCAGTGTGATTCTCCTATGTTTTGCAGTTTTGCGGCCCCTCATGGAAGTTTCCACTTTATTTTCCTTATGCACACTGCATACCCTTCTTTGTATTATCTTTCATTTTGATAAATGAGGCCGGTAAGTGCATGCCATTCAGGCGTTTCTGCTCGACGTTTGCGGGAAACGGATGAAAGCTGCAAGTCAAATGGCCCTCAACGCGTATTTTTGGGAACACTGACAACTCTGCTCCTCACTCCCAGAGATAAGCCTCGTAGAGTTCTTCTCAGTCATCGCCAAAGACGGCTGTTGGGGTGGGAAATGGTCAGTCACATCCAACTCTTCGCCTTGGGGCTGGTGTTGTGAAAAAAAGCTCTCCCCAAAATATGCTACAAAATGAGATCTCTTCGGTTCCATCCGATTGTCGAGGTGCGACCGTCATCGCCACCAAAGTGCTCTGTTATTTGAGATATTTCTCGAATACATTCTTTTCAGATAACGCTGCATCGTGTGGTCAGAGTTTTGTTGTGTACAGTGCTAATCGCAATATTGGTCCGTGGGTTCTCGAACTGTGTTCATAGAGACTCCGGGGCTTCCCCAAGAACACTTGGGAATTCCTGGAGCTTCCGAATTCCTTCGACCGTCCCTGCGCCTAAGTAAAGCGTTCTTTCAGTTTAAGCGCTATTTTAGAGGGTCTGAGCCACCCATTAATGCATCACGGCAAGACAAGCACTGCCGAGTATGTGCCTCACCGTTTACTAAGTCTGTAGCTGCTGCAGATGCAAAATTAGAAAGGGTTCCCTGGCCCATGAAGGATAGACCAAGGGATAGACTCAATTGTTTATCAGGGGATAGGCTTTCGTCGAGATCCGAAAGTTTCAGAACCCCCGCCTAGTCCGACCAGTTTCAAGTTTGGTCAAGGTGGTTACTGATTGGATGTGGCGCCACAGCTTGCGCATAATTAACCAATGAGGCATTTTTGACCTCTTTTTAAAACTGGGGCAAACTTTTGGTGAGGACGTCTCACTAACTGCTAAATGTCAAGAAATGTCTCGCAGCTTGTGGTGTGCTTGGCCTTAGTACTTCTTTATCCACTGGTCGATGTCAGCTTCTGTATGGCATCAGAAAAATTTAAGATTTGTAAAAGAAGGGCAAATTGTCAGTAGCTTCCTACGGAAGATAGCAGCCAATCACAATTTCGACCCGCATCCCATTTTCCTCTGCCACGGTGCTTCGTTCGTAGCAGACGGTCAGCTTTCTCCCCTGTCAGCAGACAACACACTTTTTTAAATTTTTTTTTTCTGTGTGTATGGCGCTTCGCAGCAGACGTGGAATTCTTTGCTCGCATTAGCAGACAAACCGCCTGCGAACAATACCTTCGCTCGCTTTGCGAGAGGCAAATTAGATCTCGCTCTCGCGGTTACCAAAATCAAACACCTGGAGTGCACTTGAGTCGTGCGTGATCCTGATTATATAGACGACTTCACGGGGGCAGAGTATACTCAGTGTTTTGCTGCTGGTTTAGACTAACTGAATTGTGTTTTATGTATCACAAAAAATGTTTTTGTTACATTACACTGATGTTCTGTCTGGTTTGTCCGATGTACAGTCTGTCAAGCGACAGAGGAATAGAATACACAACGCATTCTCAACAGTTATAGAAAGACTGTCGGTGCTTTTTTGTGCAATGTTTCTTCTCTTCCCCGATCTTGTTCACCTTCCCGCAAAGGGCAGAGAAACTCTGTGGAGCAGAAAAAAACAATTTCAACTTCTGGTCTTTTTCCTATTCTCTATAAATTGTGGAAAACATTGTGCAAGTACGGAATGACGGACACTTTTTTGTTACGGGTTTTTGGGCCTTCGTCGCTTGTTAAACACTTTTTCAAAATTTTTCAGCTATTTTTCGGCCGCTGAAGTTAAAATCTTCTGTGGGTAGCCAGCATTCGCAAGTCTGTCCACTTGTTTTAAGACGCTATTCGACATGCGGTTGTGACACGATTTAGAAAGAGCAGAATTAAAGCATGAATTCACAGTTCCTATCTTCACAATCTTGGAATGTGCTGAGCCAAACGAGAGGATCGGCTCGTTACTTCTGGGCTCAAGGGCCCAGCATACATGCCCGGCTAAAAAATACAGGCCTAGGTAAAAAAAAAACTGATTTTACAGATTTGTTTAAAAAAAAAAGCCGTGAAAGACACACTATTGCTGTCTGTGCAGACAAGTTTTGCGGCCAGGGGAACACGATACAAGAGACTAATAGCCACGAGAAGCTGGACAATTAACTAGAACTGAATCAACTAGAAACTTGCCAAGTGTCATCAAAAACTGCTAAGTCGTGGAATTCTAGTATGAATTAGAAAATGTTAAAAGCGTGGTGGAGCACTAAAGTCACCACTCGTGCGAGTGGCGACTTAGTGCTCCACCTTTAGCAAACCACCATGCTCCCCATCCACTCTAAATCCTTCTAAAATTGACCGATTGAATAGTCGTCAATAATGCCGAGCATGCTTGTAAATGGAACCGCACGTTTATCTTCACTAATTAGAAAGTAAATGCACAAGCCTTAGTTCAGTAGCCTACTTACCCCGATGATAAGCCCCCATTATTGTGTCTCTCTGAGTGTAACTCACCTGCAAAGACCGCATTAGTGTAACTTTTACGGCTTCTCTAAAACAGTTTGCAAAGCATAAAGAGAACACCCTGCATAGTGTGTGGCAGGAAACCGGGTAGGTTTTTCCCGCTTTGGGAATATGATGAAGCTGTTGGGGCTCTATCTTCTTTGCAGACTGCTGTGACGGAACCGACGAGTATGGGACGTCAGCCGAGTGCACCGACAACTGCCTGTGAGCCTCAGAGTTTGTTGTGCCCATTTTTCTGTCCGACATTGCAGGCACGGTTCTCGTACCGTAGCTACGAAGATGTGTTGCGAAAAGTGCAATGGGGTGGCAGCCCTCGTTGCAATATGTTTCTTTTTTTTATTAGTTTGTTTAATTACATTTTTTATATAAGGTAGCAAAACATGCCCACACAATGAAACGGACCTTACTTTTGCAACATACTACATTGCTTTCGGCATAAACGTTTCCATGTGAGAGGTGGTAGAACAACTGTGGCCCTCAAAGTTGCATCTTTGTGCATTTTGGAAAAGCGTTGTTCCACCTCCTCTCACGTGCAATTCTTTTTTACAGTAACAATGTAGTATCTTGCAAAAGTAAGGCTTGTTTTATTGTGTGAACATCTTTTGGTACCTCATACAAAAATTTGAATTGACAACTAAAAATAGGCATCACACCCCAGTGGCCGTCCTTATCAGAACACACTCTGCAGAATGACTATGGTTTAGGGAAGAGTTGGAAGGGAATTCTTTTACAGTGGAGCTGTTAAGGGCTGTTTTCTCCAGTATCTTGTCCGCGAACAAGCGGCGTGCCGACATAAAACTCCAGACAGCTACCGTCATCTATGAGCGACGGTGGCAACCAGACAACTGGCTTACCGGTTGTCTGGTTGTTGCCATTGCTCATAAATGGCAGCAACCTTTCCAGCCTTTCCACTTCGGTTTTCACCAGAGTGGAAAGGCTGAATTTTTCTAGGCGTCAACCTAGGAGTCGTTTTTGATCGTCCTAGACGTCGTCAGAGAGGTTGTCCTTGAGGTCTTCCTACAAGTCATCCTTGAGGTCGTCCTAGATGTTGTCCTCAAGGTCGTCCTAGAAGTCGTCCTAGACAATGTCCTTGAGGTCGTCCTAGCAGTCATCCTAGATGTCGTCCTCTAGGCATTACCGTTGAGGTCGTCCTAGACGTCGGTCTCTAGACATCGTCCTGAATGTTGTAAAGATAACAGTTTCACTGGTCCTCCATCTTGACATGAAGTGGAAGGGCTCTACATTTTTTCATTGCTATTCATCTTCATACGCCTCTCTCGGGAACTCTTAAATTTTCTAAGCACTGAATACAGGGAAAACTTGGAACTGTCAGTAAAGTTTTAGGGAACTGGAAAAATGTCATGGAACTTCAGGCAAAACATACCGTATTTCCAACGTATGAGGTTAAATTTTTTTTTAAATTTCTGTCAGTGCATTTGGTAGAACGATGCAACTCGTAGGAATTTTTGTTTCTACAAGCATGAATGTTAACCAATGACATTTGCCACGGGGGTTATCTTTCTCGTTCAATCTCTTGTTGAGAATATTGAACCTCGCTTGCGCATCAATTGCGATCCTAGTAGACAGACACGGGCTCTTCAATGCAGTTTCGCCGCACCAACTGTAAAAATGTATAGGCTCAACTTATACACCAGCTTCTTCTTATAAAAACAGCCGTTTATGGGCAGGTGCAACTTATGGACTGGAAAATACAGTAAGGGAAATTAAAGAAAGTTTTCCAAGCGAGGTGTGGGATTGCAGGGCCCCAACTTTCTTTAACATACTCAGTCTCGTCTTCAGGGGTGGCTAGAACCACCAAATAGACTACGCTTCAAAGCTGCAACACTTCAGTCATTGTGTTGCCTAAAATAATTGTTGCCGGTTATCTGAAACTTTGTTTGACATTGTAGGAAGCCCTTTTCCATTCTCCAGAAATGTTAAATGAGTCCGCAGCAGTGCAAAACAGCATCACCTCAGCTCTTCGACACTACCGAAGCTCGGGAAGTTTAGTTTTGAATTGTAGCTACACTTGTGCCGACTGTGCGTGAGGCAACAAAATGGTAATTACCTGCCAGATAATCGGGGAACAGTGTGTCTGTGCTCAAGGCGTAGGTTATTTAATCTATGACCATTTAGGAGGAGTAGTCTCCTCGTCTTTTTACGCTATTGCGCTCATATAGCAATGCCCGAAGACGAGGGAAATACCGTTTACGTTCGAGGCATAGTTTCAGTCATGGTTACCTGTGGCAGTTTGGCAGCTGATGGAACTTGCTTGTGTTTGCCTGGTGAGTGAGAAGGACCTGGCATCCTTATGACTGCTGTCATTCCTTTAGGCATCTGTGCACATATCTCTGGATGCCTCAAATGCAAATTAAGGTCTGTCTCGGTCTGAGAGCAGTCATGTCGACAACCTGTCAAAGACCAGTATTGTCATTATCATTGCTTCACCACTACGGCTTCTCTGACTGGAGTGTCAAACTCTGGGTCACGTATCGTGGTGCAGGTCATTTCTACATGACAGTAGAAAAAAACCATACATAAAAAAATCTCCCATATGTGTGTGAATGAGCATGCTTGGGGCGGCAGCCTGTGCCACCTTACCAGTAGCCACGTTGGCTCACGGTTCCCTAGCCAGCAGCAGCCAACAGCTTGCTCTACCCATTATTGAAGAGCTTATTTGCGTGCGTGCCTCCATTCTGCGCACTGTGTAGAAAGGTTGCAATATTTGTTAGGCATGCTGAAAATCACTTTTTTGGGCATACAGAATAAATTTTTGGTGATAACATTCTTAGAAACGAGGAGCAGTGCCGTGGGATGCAAGCTTGCCAGATCCATAATTTGTGGTTTCGGTTCTTGTGTAGTACAAGTTTATACAAGGCGCCCAGATGTGTGTTGCTCAGTTGCAATAAAGTTTATCTTTTGCATCCCAAAGGGTTGTCCCCCCCTTACCTGTTTTTTTTTTTGCTGTTCATCTCTTAATTTCAGATGGGTGTTCGTTAAGGATTGTACGGTAGTCCTTTTTTACCATGTCGTTAACAAACTGAAGAATTCTATTTGTCAGTCAGTCTTAGTTTGCTTTTCTCAATTAAGCATAACTGCTTCCAAATGTGCATGCTTCTGGAATTGTAGACGGGTTTGTACTTGGGCTGGTTGGCAATTCATTGTATAGGATAAAAGCGCTGAAAAGACGGACAAGTTAAAGGACGACGAACACCACGGAGCACTACTTGCAACTGAAGTTTAATAATAAAAAAACATATAACCTTGATCTCAAAAATACATGTAACCTACAGGCAAAGTGATGTAAAATGATGAAACACTTTGCCCAGTCACATGTCTCTGATATCCCGTTGTATGCATTTTTTCTATTAATAAACTTCAGTTGGCAAGTACCACTCTGTACTTGTCTGTCGTCTTTTTAGTGGTTTATCCAATACAATGCTTTAAAAAATGACTTTCTAATTTTGAAAAAAAGTTTTTATAGCTTAGGTTGCAGGAATGCCCATTTATCTTTGATCATGGTGTTAGAGAACCCAGACTAAATCAGCAGGAGCCATCTTCAGCATGATTGATGCTAAGGATTCTGAAAATGGTGTTTATATTGGTGAGATGATTATAGTGTAGTAAAATAGATGGCAGCAAGTTCTTTGGTTTTTAGCTTGCTGAAATCATTGGGATAGCCTCTTCTGCTGCAAACACCGGTGTCTTCTTTCGATAATGGTCGCGTGCTGGAGGTTTCTGCATTACAAGGAAATTTAGACACAAGGAACACCTTCTGTAAAGCGCCGTTCACACATTTACCACCCAATACGACCGAAAGAGACCAGACCGGTTTTTAAGCCTCTTACAACGTCTTAGTACCAGCTCCGCAGCAGCGCATCCGGTCCTAAAACGTCGCAAGAGGCTTAAAAATCGGTTTCGTCTCTCGGTCGTACTTGGTTACAGGTGTGTGAACAAAGCCTCCAGATGCTCATTTTAAAATATTGCATTATCTATAAATGGGCCATTATTTACATGCAGTAAAATTGGTGGAAGATGTTATCCTCTGTAGAGAGGTATTTGCCTTACTAGAAACTGTTGGGGTAAGGGGGTGATTCTGTATGGTTATCACCGATTGTCTAGTTGTCGGATCAACCACCAGAGAGTGTTGGAGTAAGGGGGTGATACTGTACATCATTACTGATTGTCAAATTTATCCAGATCAACCACCCCTTATATAATACGCTTGTTTTGTGAGCTGTGTTTTTCAAGTGGGCCATTATTTACGTGCAGGAACCTGGTTGAAGATTTCTGACTCATTGAAAAGGAGTTTGCAATAAAAGAAATGGGGAATGTAGAAATGCGTTTAGCGCCACGACACCAATTAGTTCTTTTCTCTCCAAACAGGGAGCTAGGGAAGTATGCCCGTGAAGAGGAAGAGCGTCGTCGTGAGCTGAGGGCCCAGGGACTGCAGATGCAGCAACAGATGAGCAGGGAAGGACGTCAGCACAAGGAGCAATGCAAGGTGGGTGGTTGCTGGTGCAAGGGGGATTCATGCAAGTTGTCTATTAGGTAAAACTAGGGAAAGGACGGAGAGCTGTCTATTGCAGAAACTAGGGAAAGAGGGGATCCTCATATGCCCCTTGGGTAACTAGGGAAAAATGGGGATCCATACAAGTTTTTCATTTGGGAAACAAGGGAAGGGTGGGGATCCATAAGAGTCGTCAGCTGGGGAAACTAGGGAAAGAATGGGGATCCAAGCCCACTACATGAATCATCCTGTAAGGAAATTGGCAACTCATTTGATTTACCTGCTCCAGCCTGCACTGATGCAGAAAAGTGTAGTACGGTGCAGAAGAATGCAGGGCAATGTTTGTTTTGTGAGATAGGCTGCTTTCATAGATCGAATACGGCAGTGTACTCTGAGTGCAGCTGGTGCACGAGGGGCAGGTAAACAAACACTGCAAGTGAAATCTTCTTCAAGGCAAGCTAATGGCTTCAAGGCAAGGTAATGGCCTACAGATCCCCAGTTATCGAGGTTGAATCCTGACCGGACCGAGGTGCTTGCAATCTGACGGACAAAGAATCCCAGGGCTCGTTTGACAGTCAGCTGGTTAACTTTAACCGTGGCAGAAAGTTAACCACATTTTCCAGTGAGGGGGAATTCTAGGTTACGTGACCGGCAGAGTAGCGACGGCAGGGAAACACAGTGGGTGCACCTCTCAGCAAACGTCGCTCGCTTTGAAAGTACAGTAAAACCTCGTTATAACAAAGTTGAAGGAGCGGTCGTAATTATTTCGTTATAACCATTAGTTTGTTATAGCCAATGTCCATTTCTTCCCACTATTAGCAAGCAAGGGGAATTATGATTGCTTTGTTATATCCATTAGTTTGTTATATCCCATTTTGTTATAACGAGGTTTTACTGTACTTCCGTAAAATACAGACTATGTGCCTCCCCTCGTGTAAGTGCTGCATCCCATTTTATGAAAATTTATTATTTTTGTGGCCGCCATCTTGAATATTAATCCCGAGTCGAGTAAACGCCCCCTCCCTATTTTAATTGCATAATCTAAAAATTTGAAAATAGCGCCTGCTTTTTTTTTTTTTTTTTGTCATAGTTGTTGCACTGTTGGGCACGTTTGTCAGCAATGAATGGTGCAAAAGGGCTAGCGCTTTTGCATGAGCAATGATCTCGCCCCATTTCTTAGATCATTTTTCGATTCTGGCCAGTCCTAAGCTTAAAGGGACGCGGTAATTGTCAACATGGCAACGTCTCCGGAATCCTAGTGGATTGTTTTGACTTGATCAGCTCGACATTGATGGCATTCAGAAGACCACATACCAATTTCCACTGGAGCCGAAGTACTCGATTTTCATTTTTGTGAAGAAGGTTTCATGTACAGTTCTTACATTCTGGCCAACCGTACTGCCATTGTGCTGGCCGCCTTTCAGTGCTCACTTCTTCCTCATCATTTCTAGCACTAAAGTTTGTTCTCTTTCGCACGAGAAAGGAAATTTCAACGACGTTTGTCTTTACTTCAGACAGCTGAAAAATTGCATAATTTGCCAGACACAGGTGGATTTGGTTTTACTTGAAGAGGCACTTAAGTCGATTCTAAGATCGTCCTTTTGTGGTGGCAACTCAATCCAGATTTTCTTCTGAGGGAAGTGGTCGACGAAGCGCGCTTGTCGGCGAGTTGCAAGCGATTGCTGTGTAGCAAATGTATACCTGTCGGACTCTCTTCAAAACGAGTTATAATAAAATCATTCAGAATCTGCCTGTATTTTAGGGCTTTCATTGGTCCACACAAAGTGGTCTGCGTAAAAAAAGAATCCATGTGTTTTACTCTTGCCCTGGGGTGAATGGGCGATATTTTTTAATATAGGACTTGGTATATGCGGTAACTAAGACCTCTTAAACAGTATAAGATCAAAAACGACTTTTTTGAAAAATGGCCTCAGTGCCCCTTTCAGGGGGGACACTACCCAAAAAGTGAATGTTTGAACCACTTGTCTGGTTTAAATGACATTTACAGGGCAGGTTTCTGTTGACGTTGAAAACATTTGTTCCGAATTTTGTTAACCTGGGTGAAATACAAAAAAAATTCCAAATGTTCAAAGATGAAAGTGGGCGTGTCTGCGTAGGAAAACTATTGTTTTGAAATTACTTATAAATTTGTCATTTTCACGTGTTATGTTGCTTTAGGACAGTTCAGAGCAGATAGCTATGGAGCTATATTTCTACATTATACCAACTTCCATGACAAAAAAGCCACATAAACACAAATAATGTTTTTTAGATTTCCATCCTTTGTCCAAGCTTTCAGTTCTTGAGCATGAAAAATGACAAAAATAAAAATACAAGCTCATAGCTATCTTCCCCTTATAATTTCAGCCTCGGAAAAACTCGTAAAAATGAATCCAAGTTACGTCATCTTTTATTTAATTTCAATTAATCAATTTTCTGGCTGTCAAGGAAAAAGAGCTAGTAACATAACATGGAAGGAGTTTTGCCAGATTTTTCCTTATGTGAAAAGCTACCGTATTTACTCGAATGTAACGCGACCATGATTGTAACGCAAAAAGTGGCTTTTCCAAGCGCAAAAAAAAAAAAGAAAAAGAAAAGAACATGAATGTAACGTGAGTTAAGTGAGGGGAAAAAAGTACCTTAAAAAGTACTACAACATGGTCAGCGGAAGCCTCTTCGGCCGGGTTCACAGTTGAAGAGCACTTCACGCTGGAGCCTCCACCCACGGATAGTCTATTCTGTCACATCTACCCGTCGAGCTGCGGAAGAGTTTCCGATTTCCTCAGCCATCATAATTGCACTTCTTTTAAAGCGGGCGTCGTACTGAGCTCGTTGCGTCGCCATTTGCTCGAGAGTCCAGTCGCGGAAGCACGTAGCACCAGCTCACAAAACACAGGCACATGGGTATGGTAACCCTAACGGAAAGAGAAAGCGTTGTGAAGGTAACCCGTAACCCTAACATGGGCGCAACGAGTCGCAAACAAGAATAGGATTGGATTGGCTGTTTCCAGCATGTATATGTTGCCAGCACAAGATTGAAAGATCGCGAGATTTGTCGTAGCCATTTTAAAGAGCCTGTGCTGCGACACCGCCAAGGCAAATTTTGAGGCGTTTCGATCATAACACAAACTTCCAAACTAGGTAAGGGAAATTTGAAAAAAAAAAACTTGCGTTACATTCGAGTAAATACGGTACTAATAATCCCTTCTGCAGAGTGTAAAAAAAAAAGTTTTTTTTTTTTATACCGAATGCTACTTTTCCGTCCAAATGTAGTCCTAGCGGTCTGCATCAGATGCCAAAGTTTCAGAACTGTTATCTCAGTCAAAAGTTGTCGCCGGTTTTCTGTAATTTTGAAGGGAAAAATGGAGCCCGTTTTCGGTAACTGGTGCCATTATCATCATCATTGTTGTTACCATTTTGCTTTGTTCATTCACCATTGCAGTCATGGACTTGCGCCTCTCATCTCAATCTCGTCTCGGTGAATCATGTTTTTGAGCTCGCTGGCGTGGACATCATTGGCCCATCTGCTCTTCCACCACCGCAATGTGTTGTTAAGAAGCTTGAAACTGAACATTCGAGAGAGATCTCTCTGGTTGGGAAACGCAATATTTAAAATATGGCAACCAACCAATTCCTAAACATGTAGGAGCCCTACGTTTCGAACCAAATTCCCTGAGAGAAGAAAAAAGAAGACCGAAAAACGCCGCTCCTCAATGGCCACAGTCGCCCCTGACGAAGGACCAAGTCGGTTCGAAACGTAGGGCTCCTACATGTTTAGGAATTGGTTGGTTGCCATATTTTCATTACTGTTGTTAAGAAGTGCAGAAAGTACTTGACCATAACACTAGAAAAGAAAGCAGCGATTCTCAAGTTAATAGAAAGTTTCCGAACGGAAATGGAGGCGTAACCTGAAGCAAAGCACTATTTACGGGTTTTTTAAGCTAGCTTAACGTAATAATTCGGATTGCTCTATTATTCGGACGTTCATTCGGCCCCTGTGAAGTTTGAAAAATCGGTCGACGACTGTATTTTAGTATTTTATTAACAACAAGGATAATAATTTGCATTTTTAGTATTTGTTGCTTTATGTTTCTGTTGTCATATACCTTTACCCCACTCCCCCTATGATGTCCTCGTGGCCCTGAGGGCATCTGAAATAAATAGAAATACTTATACAACTTAACTTTTGGGACTCAAATAATATTGCAACAAATGGATCGTGCAAGTATATTACCGTAGGGCAGTGGCCAGCAACCTTTTGGCGCAGTGGGCCGAGTCGCCGCGAAGCCAAGGCGGAATGGGCCGGACGGCAAGCAGCGGGGGGGGGTAAAATAGAAAAATGAAAGCCGTTTACAATTCCCTGTAACGCCAGATTATAGCGCAGCTCTTGAGGAGAAGGAGGGAAGGGTACTGAGGGATAGGTGACTCCTTGAGGTCACGTGACCTCGGGGGGGGGGGGGGGGGGGGGGGGCTGGGGGCTCATGTGACCTTGGGAGGGGGGGGGGGGGGGGTCATTTGACCTGGTGGGGTCGCGTGACCATTTATGGCGACGCCGACGCCGCTCAAGCCGGAAACGGGCCCCTAAGAGCTGCGCTCTAAAAAAAGCACTTGCACAAACTCAAATTGACGTACATAAATCGAAAATGAACAGTTTCTTTATTTAACGACGCACGGCCTGAGAATACATTTCCACGAAAACCTAGGACTCGTCTTAGTGAGACTTCAATGTTGAACTGCGCTCGCCAAACTACAGACGTCCACATTCAAGCTACTAACTGCGAGTTGCAAAACATTGTGGAGGTTCTCGTCAGTCATTCGTGAGCGCAAGTTGGATTTTATGCACTTCATACATGAAAAAAGTCTGCTTGCTGTCATAAGTGCTCCCGAACACTGTAATCATGGCGGCTGCGAGTTTTTTAAGATTCATGAACGTAGAATCTGCAAGGCCAGCGTATAATGTAGCAAGGTCGTTTGCTGCAAATGTGCTCCTCAAATTTTTATCTGTTTGCTGATCGGTCAGCTCTATCTGATAACACTCTCGAACCTGGCTAAGATCTGCATTCAATGGATTTCAAAATAAACAAATGTCGCTCAAATGCTTCGTAAAGCCCGCAAACCTAACTTCAAACTCACTTTTCAGTTTGCGCAAGATTTCGCAGAGTCTTTCCGTGGGAAGTGGCATTGTTGTCTTGCCTGCAAAAACCTTGCAGCAAAGAAAATTATAAAAATTAGACTGTCTAGCTTGGTTTCGGAAGAGACTGAGCTTCATCTCGAAAGCTTTTACGTCTGCGAGCATCCCGGACACGAGTTTCCCCTTTCCTTGTAATTTTACATTCATGTCATTCAGGTGCTAAGAAACGTCAGCCAGGAGTGCCAACTCCCACACCCAATCATGATCAGCAAGTTCTTTGAGAGGTTTCCCTTTCCCACGAAGAAACAATGCGATCCTCACGAAGATTAAAAAAAAAACGTTTGCGAAACTCTTCCTCTGCTGAGCCATCGAACTGCTGTGTGGTACAGGACATCCCCATACTCGGCCTCTGTTTCCGACAAGAACTGCTGAAATTGACGGTAGTTCAGGTAATGACTGCGAATAAAATTGATGGTAGGTACGACTACCTTCATCACGGACTCCTAGCACATCACTTTGTGACACAGTGATTGATGGTGGATAATACAATGAAGATGAATAGGAGCAATGACGCCCAGGCGTGTCGTTTCTGAGTTGATGTGTCCGACGACACCCGCTTCACAGCCAATCATATTTCTTGCGCCATCAGTCGTTACGCTTTTCAGGTTTTCCCATTTTAGCTGCAGCATATCCAGACACTCGCATAGCTTGTTAAAAATATCTTTTCCTGTTGTTATGCCCTTCAGGCTTTTTAGAGCAGCTAGCTCCTCCGTCACTTCAAACCTGGTGTTGATTACTTGCACAAAGATAAACAACTTAGCAGTATCAGAGACGTCATTGCTTTTGTCAAGCGCCAAAGAGAAGCACTGGAAAGCTTGGGCTCTATCTTTCAAAGTACTCAACGACTGTTCACCCATGTCTTCGATTCTCCTTGTGATAGTGCAAGCCGACGGAATAAGCTCCTTGAATGCATTCTTCTTATCTGGGCAAAGATTGTCAACCACTGTCAACAAACACCTTTTAACAAACTCCCGTCTGTAAAAGGTCACCCACTCTCTGCGATCAACTTGGAGATTGAGTAGCTGGCCTGAACCAGAGCCATCTTCTCCTGGACGTTCTTCTTGAAGATGTCTTGCTGCATGCCCAGGCACTTCTTTAAACTTTCGATCCTTGCGGCTCTGACATCAGAGAGTCGTACTTGTCGCGATGATGAGACTGGTAGTGTCGACGCAAGTTGTATTCTTTAAATACTGAGAGCGCTTCTTTACAGTCAAAGCGTAACGCTTCATCCTTATGTTGAACAAATAAATAATCATTTGTCCACTGATCATTGAATGTCCGGCATTCCAAATCTATTTTTTGCTTCTTGCCGCGTTTAGACAGTGACATGTTGCAAACAAACAGTCTGAAAAAAGTAAAAAAGATACACCCGTTTAAAGGCGAATTCTAGAAAACAAATTTATGTGAGTAACACATAATGTTGAAGCTTACCTTTCGAGTTGTCGATAGGGCCCTTGAGACGATCAAACTGCCCGAACAGACGCAAAGGAGTGACTGTTCTATTGAGTCCAAGCAAAGTGCGCACCATTTTGGCGTCTGTGGCTTTGTTCTGATTGGTCGTGTAGCAAGTATCCAATCAGAACGAGTTTCGCAAGTGACGGTCACAAAGAGCATTCTAATGCCAGCAGTTTCACTTCTGGACCAGTCAAGTTTGTATTGTATCCCACCTTTGTGCTAGGATATCCGTGAAGATATCTGCACAAGTGTAAGGACATTGAACTGGCCAACGGGTTGTGCTCTTTGTCCTTGTTGAACCTCAGTGAAGGTCAAAAGAGGCGTACAAAGAGAGAAAAAAAGTGTGGGGGAGGGGGAGGGGAAAAGACAGGCAACAGGCAGCAAATTAGTCAACTTTATCTTTGTTTTTCTTTTTTAGCCTATTGCGTTTGGGGGGGGGGGGCTGCATGATGCTGCTTCGCAGGCTGGATCCTGCCCGCGGGTCACTGGTTGCTGACCACTGCCGTAGGGTAATGAGTACAGAGCAAACCACTCCCAGTTGCGAAATGTTGTGCCCGTAAAATATTGCCCAAACCTGCAATACACAAATTTTGCACTGTTTCTTCCTTGAAAGGGGTCAATAGTATTTCTAAATAATAAAAAGAAAAAGTTGTTTGCAGTAAATAGGAAACTGAGCATTACCGTATCTTCCAGATTATATAGTCTGCGAACGATAAATGTTTAAAAGTTGAAATTCTATGTGGTGCAGACTACCTGCAAATGCAAAAAACTAAAAAAAAAAAATTCTTTTTTTTCTAGTTTGTTCACCGTGATAAGACGTAAAGTATTTTATGGATAACTGGGCATAATAATGTTGATTTATGTATGATACAAGCTGCTTTGTGAGCTAATACAGCAGACATTTGTCAAGGTGTGCTGTCTTTGATACTTTTTATGTTCGGATTAGATACTAAGTGCGGAATGTGCATGGTGTGAGGTCTGTCTAGTCAAAAACTTATTTTTGACCCCAAATTTGTTTTTGCGGACTATACACCGGGTGCAGACTGTAGTGCATAAAATTAGGTAATTACTTTTGTTAAACAAAAGTTTGAATGAGTAATTTGACGTGCGATGTGTGAGCGACCCTCGACTGCATTGCCTCGTCGTGTGCAGACGAAACTGGAGCAGCTGCGGCTGGACCTGGAGGAGGTGCGCAAGTCTCGGGAGGCCCTGGAAGCGGTCAAGAAGGAGGCCGAGGACAGGGAGAACCAGGCGCTCCAGAAGTACAGGGACATCGATGCCGGTGGGTGCCACCAGTGGGCAACGGGTGGGGCGCCAGCTTTCAGAAATGCTAGATTTAAGATAGATAGCAACCAAAGCCGTGGTGAACATTTGCAATCTAATGGTGGACGTCTTCTGCGGAAGATGCGTGCCGAAGTGAAAAACGGGCAAAAAGGCAGAGATGCTTACAGACGAAAACTGCTTTCGTCACCTCCTCATGGCTCGTACTGCAAGCGCAGCCCATAAACCAGGTGATCCCGAACAAGCAGTCGGAAACCTTCCGAAATATAGGCCCTCTACCAGCTTTGCCTTCCCCATTTCAAAGGGGCGATCGAACAATATTTACTGCTTTAAAGGGGCGATGCAACAATTGTACAGCGAAGCTGTTATACGCTAGGGTCTGGAAAAAAATGTGTCTTCACATGTCAACAGAAAACTCCCCATTGGTCGGGGCAAGTATGAATAAAGAAAAACAAAAAGGATAGAAGCCGTCCTAGAAGTCGTCCTAGACGTCGTCCTCGAGGTCATCCTAGAAGTCGTCCTAGATGTTCTCCTTGAGGTCATCCTCTAGGCGTCGTCCTTGGGGTCGTCCTAGACTTTGTCCTTGAGGTCGTCCTAGACGTTTCTAGGCATCGTTCTAGACATTGTAAAGATAACCGCTTCGCTGGTCCTCCATCTTCACGTGAAGTGAAAGGGCTCTACAATATTTTAATGTGAAAGCATTAACTGGGTCTCATAGAGTGGAGCCGGTGGTGTCTGTAACCGCAAACAATGCGAGGAGCCGGCGGCGTTTGTAACCGCAAGAAACGTGAAAGTCCCAGCTAAACGGCTCCTACGTAGCCATTGGCTATCTAGGAGCCGTTTTGCATAGTTTCAAGGAGCACAACCCCACAGATGAGCCTTCTTCCTGGCGCCGGAATTTTTGTACTCTGTGCAAATACCGCTTAGAACAAATTTATGATGTTAATGACCGGTGAAACACGTGTTAATTTTTCACCACACGCGTTGAAAGTCGCCGAAAAAAGAAAAAAAAAAGAAAAACGAGCAGTGTTCTTTTTAAATTTAAAATTTTTGTGAAAAAATTCATTTTTCAATTTTGAGGTTTTCATTTTTAGGAACTAATTATACACCCTTACACTAAATTTGATAACCGTATTTCGAATAGTTACCTTGATATAAAATATTTTCAACACATTGTGATGCAGTAACAAAGTAAAGGAAAAAATCGTGAGGGTGCAGGCAAGCTGGTGAATATTAACCATGTTAAATTAACCTGAGACTGAGGTAGACAAGAAACATCAAAACGTAGAAGGGACAGAAAATAGACAGGACAATGTCTCAAACTAAGCTAACTGGTTTATTTAGTCCACTTTCTTATACAGTCTCATTCTCAAGGTCATTTTCACCAACACAAAACACCAAAAGGACGAAAGCGCTTGAACTGTATAGATTTCGCCCTTTTGGTGTTTTGTTTTGGTGGAAATGACCTTGAGATTGAGACTGCATAAGAAAGTGGACTAAATAAACCAGTTAGCTGAGTTTGAGACATCGTCCTGTCTATTTTCTGTCCCTTCTACGTTTTGATGTTTCTTCTCTACCTCAGTCTCAGGTTATTTTAACATGGTTAAAGTAAAGGAGTTCAATGTTTGAATGCATTTTTTTCAGTTCCACTTTTTGCTGCAAATTTCATACAAAGGAATCTTGTTTGGAGGTAAAAATATTCTGATACCACAATCAAGATGTTTCTGAACTGAAATTTACTGGAGAATCGGGATATCTACTTTATTTTGTTTTAGTCCTCATTGAGAAAAGGCTATGTTTTCAAGCATTGACATAGGACAGATACGCGTCTCATATTTTGAGGTAATGACACTTTCTGAAGTATTTACATTAGAGTTATAAAAACTAGATAGCCCGAAGTCCCCCATCCCCCACATTACATTCAAGCAGTCAAAATGGTTCTTAATAGGTTCATTTGCTTATCATAGATTCCTTAAAAGAGAGTGACACATCTTCTTATGCAGGTATGTAAAGTTGTCCTAGAGAGCTGAAAGTTTGCACAGTGAATACCCCCATAGTCTGCATGATAAGATATTTTAACTTTTTGACATGTATAGTTTGGAAAATATGGTACAGACAATGATGTTCGTACTGTCGAGGCACAGAACGCGTAACAAGTTTATCTGCAACATCGCTGCGACTCGACGCACAATACTGTATTTATTCAAAAATAGCTCAACCTCTTTGCGAACAGACCGGTCTTTCTAAATTTCCGCAGAACCTGCGAAGACCAGTGATTACGACTCGCGAAAGAAGCCGGCGAATGGCGAAGCAGAGAACATTCACAACTCCGAAAAGAAATGCGATCCACACAGATCTCATGTCTGCACTGTGACGTTATTGGTGCCCTGTCATTCGCCGGGCCTCTTCCGTAAGTCTAAATCAAAAATTCGTCTTGAGCGTTGCAGAGAAACACACGCGCAGGTGTTGTCCATAAAGTGGTTGACCTATTTTTTTAACAAGTACGGTACATTCTTTGTTGCCACAGCCTCTGCGACAATACTGCGGTGATGGGGTGAATTTTCTTACTAGCTTTTGCGGAGAAACTTTTTTGCCGTGGTCACGTGCCACAGCTGCAGGCTACTTGCTTTCGTTCTCGTCTCTGCCTGTGCTTTCAACTGATGGATCAATCCGCGTGCAGAGAAGAAGAGGGAGCAGGAGGAGCTGGAGATGCGGAGGCACCAGGAGGAGGAGAAGGCCAATGCGGAGGAGGCCTTCAACGCCCTCGACCTCGACATGGACGGAGTGTGAGTCCCAGCACGTGCGTTTCCTAGAAGAAAGGCTTTTGAGGGCAGACGCTGGTCTTGACGAGTGAAAAATCACTGAAAAGGTTATCTTTCAAGTATTTTTTCTTAAACCATATAGGTAGGGTTTTGTGTTTTTGAATATATACTATAATATCCGAAAAACACTCGCCGGTGAAAATTTTCTTAAGGGGAGACTTAAAATGGTAAAAAAACGCGAAATTTCATGTTTTTCAAAATTCACATATTTGGATTAATTGTAGTCTAAGGTACCTGCCTGCAAAGTTTCAATGTCGAATTCAATGTCTAAGCATGAAAAAAATGATATTTACGATGTCCCCGCAGAGCCCTAACACAGCGAGTTCAATGAAAACAAGTGGAACTTCGCGCCCCGCGCGTTTCGCGATCGCTCGTCAGATCGCGACCATCTTGGTCTTGTTGGAAAGCCGCTTATTTTCCCCACACCCCATGCCATTCGTTATCGCGACAACATCGGGAAACGTCCGCATTCCGCAGGTTTCGAAGGCCCCAATTGCGATCGCTCATTGGCCGGCTAGCAAGGTGCCCGTACGTCAGAGCACGCGCGGTGCTTAGCGCCCCTGCTATTGGCCTAAACGCGCCCCTCCGCTCTTTTTCTCCTTTCCTCCTTTCCGTTCCCGCGCTGGCGAGAGGTGCGTCGTCTGCTCCTGGGCCCGTCTCCGCCCGTCTAGGCCTGTCTGCTTTGTTTCTTCCGTTATCGAGCGCACGTTTTAGTTCCCGTTTGCGCGCTTGCGTTGAACATTGTTGGTTCGCTTTCCTACGAAGTCGCGCGTGTTTTGTTTTGTTTCGCTTCGAGTTCTCGAGACCGCCGGACGACGCTCGGTTGAAATCGAGCACGCGGCAAGCGTTCGGAAGGAAGAGGAAGCGACCGTGGAACAAGAAGCCGAAGCTGTCTGCTGCAAGTGCGCCACCGTGATCGGCACCGCCGGATGCCTTGGATCCTCCGGAAACATCAGCCGGAGACATCGCGACTCCATGCAGCAGCGGCAGTTTGTCGAGCTTTGCGAGCGCGGTTCGTGTCGACACCGCATACTACTTCACGGCCGAGCAGGCGCAACGAGTCGCACGATTGGACGAATGCAAGCGTGCGCTGTCGGAAAAGTCGGCGACCCAGCGCAAATTCGACCTTCTCGGCATCACCACAGGAGGCCAGACGCGCGACGCTGGGACACAGTTCATTGTAGTGGACATGAAAGCTCTCAACGACCTCTTCGCGCAGGCGAAGTGCGGAAGCTGCGATGCGGGAACCCTGACACTTAGTAAGGCCACGGACAAAGAGTATGGCTTGGCAGTCAAGCTTCTGCTCGTCTGTGCCACATGCGAGTTCGAGAAGAAGCAGTTTTCTTCACCAAGAGTTGCCCGAACGGCGAAGATCACTCCTTTCGAAGTGAACATGAGGGCAATGAAGGGAATTCAGTCAATTGGGAAAGTAGTCACTGCCCTCGCAGACTTCTGTGCGTCCATGAACTTGTCACACCGCGGCCTGCATCACAAGACCTTCCAGGGACACCTGAAGACCCATGTGCAAGCCTGCGAAAAGTCAGCAAGCGCAAGTGAAGCTGCCAGCTTAGAAGTTGTCAAGAGACTGTATGCAGACTTCTTGAACCCTGTCGGCAACATCGACGTGATCTTTGACGGATCTTGGATGACGAGAGGACGCAGCTCCCACATTGGTGTGGGCTGCATTGTCGAGCTGTATTCCGGCCTAGTTCTTGACCATGTGGTGTACTCCAACTTTTGCCTTGGGTGTGCCCTGGGACCGGAGCCGGAGGAAGAGGGGTACGGCGACTGGTATGCAGCCCACGAGTGCCAGAGGAACATAGATTGCAATTCAGGTCGGATGGAAGTGGAGGCTGCATTGACCATGTTTCAAAGATCCCTGGCCAAGCACGGACTGAGGTACACCACAGTTCTCTCGGATGGAGATAGCCGAACCTTTCATGCGTTGACCGAGGCAAAAGTCTACGGCTTCGTCAAGGTCGAGAAAAAGGACTGCATCAATCATGTGCACAAGCGGATGGGGGCTGCGTTGCGTAACCTCCTTGAGAAAAAGAAGGCCCAGGGTGAAACACTCGGCAGAAAGGGCAGACTGACGCAGGACCGAATCAAGAAGATTCAAAACTACTACAGCTATGCCCTTAGGAGCAACAGTAACGATGTGCCAGGGATGAAGAGGGCAGTGGAAGCCACCCTCTTGCACATGACGTCTACAGACAGTGCCCCAGACCACAGCAAGTGCCCCGACGGAGCTGAGTCGTGGTGCAAATTCAACAGAGCCCTGGCAAATGGCGAGTGTCCACCTGCGCACAAGAACCCTCTTCCAGATTGTGTGCGGTCCGCCCTCGAGCCAGTGTTTGCAAGGCTCAGTGATGAAAACCTGCTGGCACGGTGCAGCGAAGGCAAGACGCAAAATGCCAGCGAGAGCCTGCATTCAGTCATCTGGACGCAAACCTCGAAGAACGCCAATGCCTCCCTGGACAGCGTCAAGAGGGCTGCTGCCGAAGCTGTTGCCGTCTACAATCAGGGCAGGCGGGCAATGAGCGAGTCCGTTGCTGCGAGCCTGGGCTATGCTGCCGGTGACTGCCTCGTACGCCGCAGCATGGAGAAGGACAATCTGCGTTTGCGTAAGGCCAACGCTGCCCACCAGAGCAGCAGCAATGCAAAACAGAGGTTCTCCAGGCAACACCGGACTGGAACAGCTGGGGACTACAGTCCTGGACAGCTGTGAGGGGGCTCCCCTTTCAAGTGCTACATGAACAAAGGCCCTTTTCAGGGCCAAACAAAATCTGCTTTTGGAACGTGCAACCCTTAGTGCCTCCTCCCGTTGTCCCTTATAGAGTCTACTCATTCTTTTATACCTTTATTTTACATTGCAGACATTATTTCTCAGTTTTATATTATTTTTTAAAGGTTCTTGTGAACGGATCGCAGAATTTTTCATCTCAATTTGTTCAGATAGAACTATGCTTCATATAGCTGAACATTATTGCATGGGATCCCTTACTCAATTTTATGCAATGAGTGTCAAAACTTCAACTGCAATTTTCTCAGCTTCGCATTTTTCGTCTACATGCCTAGCCTTACGGTTGTTTTCATGAGATTATTCTTCAAGGATTTCTATAAACTTTATACCGTTGGATTCAGAAAGAAGTGAACTGCAGGGTGATGCTATTTTTGTATGACAGTATGGGCCCGAAATTTTATTATTAGTGATAATGTGACCTCGTTAGGCTTTGTAAATAGTGTACTTGACCTAATTAGACTAGTTTTATACAATGATCTATCTTTACAAAAATATAAATAGCATCATCTTGCATGGCAGGTCTTTAGCTACAAATCCATATCACTTATGCAAAAAAATTTGTATTAGAAAGTTCCTTAATGAGTCGTAAGAAATGACCTAATTAGGCTTCATTATTTTCTTCGTAACTCAAAAAGTAATTGAGATATTGCAGAACTAATTGAATATTTGAAAAGAGGAAGCCAAAACATATATACACACTGATTTTCATTTTAATCCATTAATAAACAAAAAAGTCGATTTTAGAACCAGTGTCTTGCCTTAATTCACATTTATCCGATGAATTCAAAATATTAGTTTCGTGATGGTGAAAGGCAACAAAATAACATGGTATTCTACAGATAAGCTTGGTTAAAGCACAGGGTCAGTGGTCCCAAGGAGAAGCCTCTTCGGTTTCCTTTCGAATGTTGGACTATTGACAGGTGGGGGATCACTAGTTATTTCGTCAAAAATAACTGGTGATCCCCCCCTGAAAACTAAAAAACCACTGCTAGTTTTTTAGTTTTCTATAACAGTGCGAGGGGGCAGCTAAAGGTTACATCCGACCACATGTCCCCACGCAGCTGCAGGGTGGTGCAGTGGAATGGGACGGAAAAAAAATCAGTCTTCTGGTGTCAACGTAAAGAATTTGAGTGGTTTCAAAGTATCAACGTTTATTGAAGCAACGCTTATTTTCAAGTTCTGTTGTGGGACAGTTAGTATTATTAATGGCAAGGCAGCTGGAAAAATAATATTCAATACAGGTGAGCTCTTACGAGTTTAGGGCAGGCTTTTGTACGCGTGAGATTTGTTGTAGCGCGGGGTTGTTAAGGAACTCGTGTCACAGAAAAGCCTGCGTCGGTTGCGCGACAAGAAAATCACGGACGCGCAAATCCCGATTGGTCGATGGGGTCATGACATCACAACCACGTGACCTCGCGCAGGAATTTCAAACAACCCGCAACGCTCATGGGAAATGGGATGTTGCGCGTGGAATGGAAGTGATTAAAAAACATGGCGTGCAATGTGAATTAAAGGTCACCACCTGTCTCGAATGATTTCACTTTATAAAGTAATTCATTTGCCTTAAAAGAAAAATTCGAAGAATTTTAGGCGGGATTTGAACCCAGGACTTTTCAGTTGCAAGCCGGACACGCTGCTGAATAAGCCACCGTGTCTGCCGCATTTCCTGCTCACTGGCACGAAGAGCATGAGAAACAAATGAGGAGACTATGCGAAAGGTTCCCAATAACACTACAGTCGAACCTCGATATAACGAACTTCAATGTAACGAAATCCTCGATTTAACGAAGTATTTTATTTTTCATAATTTCTTGCCCATAGACCCCATGTATTTTTAGTCTCTATATAACGAAGTCTATTTTGCTCCTATTTCAATATAACGAAGCGCCATTGCCATAGAAGTCAATAAATAAATAGACTCTAAAGAACAACTTCGCAAAAAAATTGTGGTTAAAAAGAAAAAATTATGCGCAAACGCGAGCGCTTGATAGGTTACTTCACGGGGACAGGCCTTTCAACGTTCCTAGGCTGCCCGAGGATGCGGCGCCGGTAGCGCCGGCGAGGCATGCGGCAAAGCGCATTCCGCGGGGCTGGCCAGAGAATGCCGAGCAAAAAGTTAACACGGCATAACAGCATCACCACTGATCATCATAGTCCACTG